TTCAATCCTTTGGTTTTGAGTTGACATCCCCGCCAAGCAGCTTCCTTTACTAGGGCCTCTCATTTGTTCCATTCCTTGCCAGATGCCAACATTTTCCCCACCTTGACCTGCCCGGGTACTTAAAGGTAATCCAGATGAGTAGATGGCACATAGGAATAGGTCTTTTACTGTTTCACTGCGATTTCTGGTTTAACGCAAAACCGCTCATAGTTTGCACATTACCTGTGTTTCCTCCCTGTTCAGTGGTGGGGTGGAAGAAAAATTGATTCGCAAAACGTTGGGGCATCGTTCTAATGCATTGTTTCAGTACAAAAAGCCTACGGAAGAAAATGTGTTTAAAGTTTCAAAGATCCTAGGTCCGAGTGTTAGTGCAGTTTCATGTTCTACCACATAAAAACAAGACGAATCTCTTGCTTTCAAGGATGTTGTTTTCCAGGAAGGAAAATTTGAAAACTGTACAATTAATGTAATGGTGTCTAAGAAAGAATAATATGTTGCTGTATGGTTGTTGTGAGTAATGATTGAAGCGACAAATATTCTATATTTAGTATTAAGACTGATTAAAATTCAAGTTTCTTGATCAGTGTCTTGATCAGTTTTTGAACTAATCGAATGTGTCTTAATCGGCATGTTCATTGGGTATCAAAATACATGCACCTGACTCAATTGATGCAAGCTGATTGGGTCATCAGCACATGAATAATTAAATGAGTTTGAGAATACAAGATCCTTGGTAGGTACTTACTCAAAAGCATTTCTTTTAGGGGCCTATTTAAGCATCGTGCTGTTTCATTTCTCAGTATGCTTTATAGTTTTGGGATAACCCTAATTTCACCACTTTTTATGAACACAGCGGAGTAAAGATTGTCTTTAAGAATAAAACTCTTATCACTTTTCCAATCAGATTGTGCAATTTAGTTAGAGTTGATCATCACAGGGTTACCCTGACTAAAGAAGGCATATTTTACATAAGGGACTTAAAGCAAATTTCTACAGTGACCTCTACTATGGTGGTCGTGGATGCAGAGTCCTGAAGAGATTACGTCACTTTGGCACCCAAAAAGTTACTACAGGGTTTCTCGCTCATTTGGTTTCGTTGTTAGTAAAACACAGGCCAGACTGAATTACTGCCCAGGGACCTAGAAGGGCCAAATACTTTCTTGATCAAGTGAAAAACAATATGATAGGTTTTAAGCCAGTAAAAAATAGGGGAAAAGTAGAATTTTATACTCATGTAGAAGCGACTATGCCATTATATTTTGTGCTTTGGCTAAAGGTCATTTTCCATCATGCACACAGCATCATTTTTGGGCTTTTTACTCCCAGTTGCCATACTAGCGATTACTGTAGCAATTTGTTACTTTGGTATTATTGGCATACTGTCCATGGGGGGCAGTTATTTGGTACCGGTCTGTCTGACAAGCATTTATCAGCCTCTCTGGTTATTTCCGTGGCTTTTTTTTTTTGCCTCTTTGACATGCGAGCCTCATAAAAAGTATCAAGAACAGCATTGATGTTTCTTAACTTTGACCTCTTTGAGCGTAGTGGCTTGATGTGCCTGGATGGTGGACCACTGGCCCCCTCTTCATTGTCTTCACTCTCCTCCGAATACGTAAATTCAATAACATTGTGTAGGTGTATTTTATTTTATTTATTTTATTAGCTTTGCCCTGAAGAATAAAAAAAAACACTGTAGATATGCAAACACTAGTAATAACGTAACAATACACTAATAATAACTTAAATATTAGGGCAGGGACACCGCAAACAGCTAAAGCCAATTACTGCGGACCCCGAAAATAAAAAGATATAAAAGTAGCAATTTAAATCACATGCAGCAGCTAATTTCCTGGTCCAAAAACCTGGCTGTGTTACATTTCAGGCATGTACTTTTGAAGCTCCTCGGAGAGTCCGGGTCATAGTTTATTGCTAGAGCCCATGAGTAAGAACTGTAAAGAACAGATTTAAAGTCCTCAAATGTAACATTATCTAGGTCAAGTCTAGTAATAAGCAGGTTCCAGATTCTAGTGGTTCTAATGAAAAAAGATTTCTGAAAGGTAGAGGTCCTGCATTTTTTAGGCACAAAAGATTGAGAGCTCATTACGGATATACGGGTCCTTTGTGCGCATTCGCGCACGAAGGGAACAACAGACGCATCTAAGTGGATCATGTTATGTGTAGCCTTGTAAAAGTATACTAGATCTAGTAACTTGTGCCAGTAGCACACAGGAAGTAGGTTTACAGACATTAGTCTTTCTTTGTAAGAGATATTTGTTAAGAAAGGCAAGCAAAGAATGAATTTGGTGGCACGTCTTTGGATACTTTCGAGTTTAGAAATTAGTTCAATGCCTTGGGGCGCCCAGACCTGGGTTGCATAGCCAAGATGAGCATAAACTAGTCAAAGGTATAATGTGCACCTTACGGTACTGTGAATAAACCTAGAGTTCCTCCTAACGAAACCTAACAACTTGTTTGTGCCTGCAGCTTGGTGAGTGACTTGGGCCTGCCAAGTGAAGTCACAGTCCAAGGAGACGCCAAGGTCACGCTCTACCTCACAGGACTTGATGGTACTGCCGTTAACCCCGTAGCACGTACAGGTGGGCTTGCGGTCCCTCGTAATGGTCTGAAGCTTGCATTTCTTATCATTGAAGGCCAGGCCGGAGGCAGCGGACCATGAAGAGAGATTATCCAGATCTTGTTAGAGAGCAGCACCATCATCCTCAGACATCACTACCTTGTATACTTTAGTGTCATCTGCAAACATTGCCACTTTGCTGTTGAGGATAGAATCTGGAAGGTTGTTCACATATAACAAGAGAGCAGGTGCGAGTATTGATCCCTGTGGGACTCCAGAGGTGACAGGTAGGTCACGTGATGTCGCGCCTAGTATGGTGACACGTTGGCACCTGCCACAGAGATACGCGTGAAACCATGTGAGCAGGTTCCCTCCGAAGCCAGCATCCTGCAGTTTTTCCATAAGAAGGTCATGTCTAACCTTATCAAAAGCTTTGGACATGTCTAAATCCCACAATCTACTTGACCAGCTCTGTCAAGAATAGCACCGATGTAATCTAGGGTCTCCAGTAGATTTGTGACACATGAACATCCACTCCGGAACCCGTGCTAACAGTCCCCAATCAGATCTTCTAATCGGTCATGGATGCAGTTCGAGACACAACGTTTGAGGACTTTAGAAATAATGCAAAGTAGGGAGATAGGCCTATAGTTTTCAACATGATCTGTTTCATCCTTCTTATAGACAGGCACTACATTGGCCAATTTCCACTCAGACGGTATGTAGCCTTTCCCCAGAGACCTGTTGAACAGCTTGCATAGTGATGGAGCAATAGTAGTGGCGGTTTCCTTTAGGATTCTAGCCGGGATCTTGTCTGGACCACTGGCTTTGTTTGGGTCTAGTGATTTTAGGACAGCCTCAACTTCACTGACGTGCAACACAATATTGCTAAAGGAGGGTTCTGTGGCAGGGAATTTCCCTGTGCCGTTATCTACTTTGTCCTCTTGAGGGACAGAGAAGACTGAAGTGAAATAGTTATTAAAAATGTCCGCAATTTCTTCTGGGGTGTCAGCGTTTGCACATAGGTTACCAGTTGCCATGGAGACACATTGTGGTATGTTGCATGACTTTGAGCGAGATTTTAATACTGACCAGAGATGTTTGGGATTGATCTTGAACTCGATGTTAGCAGACTCAAAGAACTCGTCCCTGCTTTCTCTGATCGCGCTTAACTTGTGAACGCAGAGTTTGAAATTTGACTTTTAGTGACTCCGATGGGTGCAATCTTAGTTT